CAGCTCCCCAACGCGCCCGCGACGAGACAAGCGGCGCAGTCCGCCGCGCTCGAGGTCCCCCAAACACTGGGCGGTTGCCCTGAACCGCCCCGAGCCGCTCACCCGAAAGGCCCGCGCCGCTTCTGCAGGTCGTCCAGGACGTCGTCCCTCCTCCGGAGGAACTCCCCCGTCGCTGGCGTTGCTCGCGCCATTTCTGGTCGAAAGCGACCGTGTCGGGGTTTCCTTGCGAGAGAAGTCCTGTTGCCTGTACCGAAGAAGCAGCCGTCGAGCTGGAGGGAGGCGGCGTACGACTGGGCGCAGACGAGGCTGAGCTGACCCACGGCGCTCTGGACGCACGCCGAGCAGTCGGAGGAGCTCAGGTCGTTCCGGCACTGGTAGAGGCCGTAGACGTCGGAGTCCGGGAAGTCCTTGTAGGATGTTTGGGAGGCCGAGAACGCGACGGAGGCGAGGAGGGAGTTGAGGTGCGATTGGTAGAGGGAGTTGAGCTCGAATTTGGATGGGGAGCAGCCAGCGTAGATGAAGCTGCTGCCCGCTCTTGCTTGGTGCAGACGAAGAGTGAAGAAGAAGAAGAAGAAGAAGAGCGAGACTGATACGAAGCTCGGAGGGCTCATCTTTCGCTAAGAAGAAGAAGAAGAAGAAAAATGGCTTTGTACGATGGAGGGAATTTTGAGTTTTGAGTTTTTTTTTTTTTTTTGCCCTCCGGTCCTTTTCTCGTGTTTAAGTAAGGATGGTGGAAGTTGCTTTTCTATCTTAATTTGCCTCAGCAGCTGGCAGAAAACAAAGGTTATCTCTACTTGGTTTTTGGGGCTAATTAATTAATAAATAAATAAGAGGATTATGACAAGTTCATCTAGTTTTTTTAATTTCCTTGGAGAATTTGACGACTCGTTCGTGGATTAATCACTACGCTGCCGCAGAAAGGGAATCAAATAATGATGACGTTGGATAATAAAGAGCAGCGAACTTGGAGTGCCAGCAGAATATGATTCTCCTTTTATCACTTCAATCAGTGTGATAATGGGGGTGCTCCAACGAGGGATCGATATATATGGTCCTTTTCTTTGTAGGCCAGATTTCTGTTCGGCGAAGTGCAAACAGGGGTGCTCGGCGGAAGGGAGTGAGAACGACGAGCAAAATCTTTGGTGCGTATTACGCTTGGGATTACAGGCTTGAGCACGGATTTTTGTCGAGGTGTCGGCCCGCGGATTCGGATCCTCTCCACTACAAAAAAAATAGTGGAGGGACCACTACATAATCATAGCCATTGATTATCTAGTTGATGGTTATGATTTTTTCTTTTAGTGCAAATTAGGAATGGGTGCAATACACGGGAGTATGGTAAGTGTTAGATTTAGATTGTATCATAACCGCCTACTAAATAATCAACGCTTGAGATTAAAAGTAGTGGTCTCTCCACTACTTTTTTGTAGTGGAGAGGATCCAAATCCGTCGGCCCGCTACATTACTATAACATAACCGGTGTTTGCTTGGGCAAGAGGTGACTGATGTGGCAGCTACTGTAGCTGAGTTGGTAGTCTCATGTTAATTCCCGGTAAAAGGCTCATGTTAATTCCCGGTAAAAGGCTCCGTTTTGAGACGCGGTACCGTGGCGGCCACGTGTTACTGTAGCAATCACGCATTTTACAAAGAAACATCCAAACAGACCCTTACTTAAGGATTGGGGGTTCTATTGCAGACGTTGCACGGCCAAGAAGAATTGGGATTGGAGATAGGATACTGACATCCAACTACTTTTTCAATATCTTGAGGTGGAGTTGTTGGATTCAATAGTTTTTCTTTTGTAGGGCTCGATGCTACTATAGTTTGCATGTTAAATAAAAATGTATAACAAAGATCAAGAATATGTAGGAATTTTTTTTGCCCACCCAATTTCAGGAACCTTTCTTTAAGATTTCAGAAAATATGCTGGGATCGACTTCAGAGCCAAATGACAAGTTCAACTATAGCCGTGAATGATGCAGCGCGAAAGTAGTAGCCTCGGAATCCACCAAGGAAAATCATCGAATCCACGAAGAGCTTCGAATCCACGAAGAAATATTGAGGAAAAACAAAATTTTTATTAATCAAAAGTTATGCCTCTAGGGCTTACAAGACTCTTCTTAAATAGAAAAAAAAACAAGACTCCAAGGACTCAAACTCTACCAAAAATAGTAAAAGAATTCCTAAAATATTAAAACTCCTAAAAAGACTTCTTATTACTAGGAAAGTCCACCGGTTAAATCTGAGATCAAATCGGATTTGTTTCCTAAACAAAAAAGACTCCTAAAATATTACTAAAAATGGTAAAAAACGGACAAAAATACAAATATCTCTCAAACCGTAAGGAATTTGGCGAAACAGAGAACGCAAACCGAACCCGAAGGGATGGGTTTGGATGGCTCCGTCTCGTCGAGATAGTCCATTTTCATATATAATTCGTTCCAATTCCGACGTACGGTTTGAAAGTTACGGCCATTTCTTCGAAACTAGTTATTTTCTTCGACCAGGCCCGCATTTGGGCTTGCGACTGTCCCACTTTGACATAAACGCGTCTGCTCTGTGTTCTACATCAGCGAAACTATTAGGGATCTAAGTGTCCATCTAAGTTGGAGATCATGTTCATAATTAGTGCATAAATCTGTCACGGAGGTTTCTGTTTCTTAGTTTTAGTAGATGTTTCTTGGATGCAGGCAGAGGACCTTCACCTGTAGTCATGAGGGCATAAACTTCGATCTTGACAGTCGACGTTGATGTGTGTTGTCACTTGTCATGCTAGTTTTAGTGTTTTTGTTGCTTCTTTCGTTGAATGGATGCTGAAGTAGTCTGAAGAAATTTGGGATGTGCTAAGAATAAATAATTTAGCTTCATCAACATTTTTAGAGGGAGATCTCTATGGCTTGCTTTTGTGCTTTTATGTACTAATGTTGGTTTTTAGGTGCTTTGGTGTTTGGATGGTGGTAGTAATAATTGGATGATGACGAGCAAGATTTCTATGTTCGGGAGGCGTGATCTCGGTTATTTGGTCAACTTGAATGCGGGCAAACAAAGAGAATCAAATAAACAATCGCGCGCACTGGTTATCTTTAAAGAGAGTTGATTAAAGGGAAGGCGAGCGCGGAGTAAGCAGAATAGGATTCTCAGTGATGAAAGCCGTCTTCTCATTTATCACGCTGAGTTAGTGGGGTTCTCTGAAAAAGGCCCTTGGTTCATGTTTTGCCCTTTCAAGCACGGGTTCTGTGCACGGTCAAATTTTTCTGTGTTCTGTAGCTCAGATAGAAACTAATTAGATCGGTTAACTAGCCAGTGATGTAGTTAATACTTCATTGTCCAATTCTGCATAGGGGTGCATTCGGTCCGTATACGGTTTGGATATGATACTTACCATAACCATATCCGTTTATCTATCTCGGATACCGATACGGATACTACGAACATACGTAAGGAAAATTTATATCCATATCTGCTAAAATTGGATACAGACAATGTTACATTAAACGTTGGGTGCTTCTAGGCGTCGGACTTGGTACCCAGCTCTTAGTTGCCTAGGCGGGCGCCTAAGCGGTTTCTGGACGTTTTTTTTTTCTTTTTTTTTTAATTATGATACTTGAAGATAAATATATATATATACTCAATCAAAGATGCATAAATACTAAAATACCAACACTATTAACTAAATTGCTTGGTTTACCAATTACAATAGCTCTTTGTATGTTTATACTTCTCAACTCAAATTATAAGTTCATCTCAATAGTGAAAAACTCATTCTTAACTCAAATTACTGTTAACTTATTAGTTACTGTTAAGTTTAAGTTAACAATAAACTTAAACTTAAGTTTACTGTTAACTAAAATATTGTTAACATAAAATATTGTTAACTTAAGTTTACTGTTTACTTAAACTTAAGTTTACCATCAACAAAAAACTTAATATTAACTTAAACTTAAACTTAAACTTAAGTTTACTGTTAGCTTAAACTTAACTTAAACTTAAACTTAAGTTTGCTGTTAACTTACCCTTCTTAAGTTTAAGTTACTGTTAGCTAACTTAAATAGATATTTAAGAAGTACTCTTTACCTTGTTAGTAGTTACAGAGATTGGGGGAGCTCGACAATGTTACAGAAGGCGCTAGGCAGACTACACGTTTGAGCGAGCGCCTAGCGCCTAAACCCTTGGGTGTACGCCTAGGCTTTTGACTATTTTTTAATTATTTAATTATAATAATTGATAAAAATATGTATTAAATTCATATAATTTTTTTTAAAAAAAGATAGTAATATTAGTTTTACAATAAATTATGCATATTTAGATACTAAATAGCCAAAATAATAATTAACAATGCTAGAGCCTAAGATGTTTTCTTTTTTATTTTTAATTATAATAATTGATAGTGAATGTCAATGTTATAGAAAGCTTAGATGTCGGACTGGTGTCTAGGCGAATTTTTTTCTTCATTCAAGTGGTGGTCGATGAGGTTTTGCTGAAGGTCGGAGGAGGTAGTGGAGGTGTTTATATTTAGAGGTTAATGGAGTTTGGAGAATGTGTTGACTACAACATATAAAATCACAACCAAGGCCTACAGGATCCATCTACGTAAGCAGATAATGCTCCCCTAAACGCTCGTAAAATCTAGGTGGGCAGCTTAAATACCGCATAGGCGCTAGGCGCTAGTTAGGCGGCCTAGGTACCGCCTAGGTCTAGGCGTACGCTTAAGCGGACTAGGCGGAGGTTTTTTAAAACAGTGGATACAGATACAGATATACATGCGGATATATAAGCGGATATGCATGCAAAAACAAAACGGATGTAGAAAAACTATGTAGTATTGAAAAAAATATATTTCATGTGATACAAAGGAGTTCGTTAATATGTTCATCATATCTAAGAAGCTAAGATTAAACATCTTGATAATCAAAATTAACCTCAAATCTATAATCTAAGGATTAAAACTATTGTAGCAGTATGACTAATATATTTTCAGATATTTCGGATACTGATCTAAATATTTCACTATAAAACCATATCTGTAGCCATATCCTATCGGTTATAGATTTGAGTAACCATATTCGCATTCCAACGAATACGATTACGGATATTGTTGCGCGCAGCGGAAATTTCGGCAGCACTTCGGCAGCACAACAAGAGAGTCAGGTCGCAATAAGAATTCTTGTTTCTCAAAGGAAACAAGAATCTGAAGCCTATATCCTATCAAAGTAGGATATTAGCTCTTCCTCTCGTCAGCTTTAGGACTGCGCGTCGAGGGACCCTAAAAGCTATTACAAATCACACAAAAGCAGTACAACCAATTTTTACGTGGTTCGGCAAATTGCCTACGTCCACGGGGCAAGGAGGGGGGAGATCTACTAATAGAGGGAGAGAATACAAATAGGGTTTACAATCACTCACAATCTAAACCCTCTAACAAACTCTCTCAAATCCCTCACAAATATCTCTCAAAGGGATGCACAAAGCCCTAAAAGAGACTACACAAAAATCTTCAACTGCAGCCACAAAAAACCAAAAGAAAAATCACAACCTTGCACCCGAACCCCTTTGCTGCAGCCGGAAAATTTTGCAGCCGCAAAATCCTCCACGCTCTCAAAAAAACCTAATAAACTATTGCTTATATAGGGAGCAGCTCAAAAACGCGTGAACGAATGTGTTGAAACCGACTCAAAAAATCCCCGCTGCATGTGTTCGTGGGCCTGGGCCTTATCCGGTTCACATGTGTTGAAACCGACTCAAAAAATCCCCGCTGCATGTGTTCGTGGGCCTGGGCCT